CTAAAAGATCCAAGTATCAGCCATGTGGGTCCCACCCTCGTCACCTAAACTCTTGTTTCTTGGGCTTCTCCAGATCCATGGCTGATGGCTGTGCCCTACAAGCATACCATTCAGGGCCATTTAGAGCCCCTCCCCTCATGGGACCCACTTCCTGACTCCCGATAGCAATAATAAATCACAGAAAGCAAGCACACCAGGCACACAGGAAGGTCCAGGTGGGTGTGCAACCTTGCATCTGTCCAGGCAGGTAGAAGACCACACTCTCCTTGGAACACTGTGAAGAATCCCTCACACATAAAACTCATCGAGGATAACTCAGTGCTGCAGTCAGAAAGCCCCTCTACTGGAGAAGCACCAGTCTCCAACACAGCTCACTCACCCACTAGGCATGATGCGCACAGCAAAGGAGGACATGACTTCTGTAGCATTAGCAATTTTTTATTTTTCCTTTTTGTTGCATAGGAAATGCAGTACTTGCTTCCAGTAATTGTATTGTAATGTGAGAAGGTGGTAGCACTAACGGTTGAATACAAGAGTTAAACTAATCCACACCAGCTCAAAAACCCTGTGGAGATTTAGTTGATAAGAATGGACGCCCACAGTGATTCTCAACCAATTACAAGTTTTCACAGAACACAGTAAACGAAAAGGGTAACTATGAGAGTCAATACAAATATGCTAGAGGCACAGGGGGCCCGGCTCATAAAAACAATTTCAGACCAAGTTATTAACACGGGGCGTTTCGTTTCACAATAGGTCTCTTTTTCCATCATTCAGAGTTTTTAATCCTTTCCCCCACAATTTGAAATGAAAATCAGAGGCACTCTGAGCAGACAGGTTTTCATGTGTGATGGGAAAGGTTAGTGGGAGGGGCAAAGAAGGAAGCATGGACTTAGCCTTGACTGTCTTCCTAAGGGCTAATGGGACCTGCTGGCACTGCATGTCTAGTCTGGCTGGCATGTTGGCAGCAAGGCTGCTGAGTCCAGCAGAGTCACAGAGGCCTGAGGGAGAAGAGGTCTAGCAGCTCCCTCACATGCCTAACATGGCCAGTGGCCTAAGATCTCTAGTTAAGAACGCTAACAGGTTAAAAAAAAAAAAAAAGCAAATTACAGACCATTACCAAGAAAAAAATTTAAAAACTAAGAATACTACAAGTAACAGTCAAGGAAAAGAAAAACCAGCTTTAGGTTTTCTGAGAAGCTGAGCGTTGAACAACAGGGAGAATGTCCTATTCCTTGGACACCACTTGCCTTTGAAACCACTGTAGAGACAAGAAACTTCACATTTTAACTTGCTCTAGGGAGTTCACAGGTAGCACTTCTCCTGTGTCCTTTTGTGGTCCAGATACATTTGACAGAGTTTGTGTTTCGACCCACACAGCACGGTGAGTCCACATGTATGACGCCTGACACACAGAGCAGGCGTCCTCTGCTCCATCCCCATGTTAGAGTTCTCACTTTGCCTTCTGAGCTTTGCTGGGGTCTATTCCCCAAATCTTATCCCTTTAACTTGCTTACTGGCTTAATGCAAGCAACCCTTTGGAGAAAGGAAAGCAGATGGGTGCTGGTTCAGGAGGAAAATTTAAAAAAAAAATTCAATTTGGGAAGCAAGTAGTTACAAATTTAGATGAGAGAGAGAGAGAGAGAGAGAGAGAGAGAGAGAGAGAGAGAGAGAGAGCATATTTTTAAAATCCCGTGTTAATAGCAAACTTCTTTCTTATGAATCGGGCCCAAAGTTTGTACAGAGTTATAGTTTTGAAGAAAATATTGCATCTGTGCATGTAACTAAACAGCCATGTGATTTCTTACGATTTTTTTTTCTTTTTAATATGATGAAGTCTGGTGTGAGGTGGATCAAGCATGGGTACACTGTCCATTAAGATGCTTCAGTGTTTCCTAGCTTCTGCTGAGGGTCAAGAAAGTGAGTCTCTCTTGGAAATGTTCTCAGACTGGTTTTGCAGCAGAGTTCTTGAAATTCAAACGGTAGTTTTGAGACAAAAATCTCATCAGATACTGATTTCTGAAATCAAACACCCATGCTTGTCCCTTAGGAGAAACAAAACAAAAACAACAAAAAACGAAAACAAAATACACGTAATACTGAATTTAAGTAAGTGTACACCTCCAAGATACTGAAGACAGCCGGAAGGAAGACAGAGTTCGCGTTCTCAGTGAAATACCTCAAACCTAGCTGACAAGAACCGAGGCAGAAAAAAAAAAAAAAGACTAACAGAACTTGGAGTAATAGTCATACAGTTCACTAAGCATTATGGAATAGCATGCATAATATTGTACGGTTATTTTACATCACCTATACCAGAGGTCCTGACTGACAGACAGCGAAGGCTACCGGTGTAGAAAAATCTTACTTCAGAAGAGCAGTATAATACAGATTTCACAGGCACTACATTTTAATATATCAGGTATTATGCTGGTTTTCTTATAATTCTTTCTGTCCTAAAGCTGGCATTATAACAATGACCAAAAAGGCAAGGATTGAAGTAAACGGAAAGTAGATACCAAAGTTGATATAGTTTTCTTTTTCTTCAGATAGATTAGTGCATAGTTCTCATGCAGATAAACACTGCTATGCATTTACACTGTTGGGAAGCAGAGTGAATTGAGCCCAAGTTGTCACATTTGTGTAAATCATTTTGTCAGCCTGTAATAGCACCATGTAATGGATTTGCATTAAACATTAAATTGATTTCAGAACTGGTGACACAGTATTCACTACAGTTAAGTGCTATGGAATAGCTTCAATATACCTGCTATATATCAAAGCAATTTTCATCCCACTGCTTTTTTTTTTTTATTGGAAAAAATAAAGGGGAAACATACATGACACTAATTAGACGAATGCACAGCCTTGGACGTGGAGAAGGCAGAGTAGGATCACTGTCAAACAGGAAGTGCATGCATTGACTTCAAGACAAAATGGCCTTGGAAGCCCATGTAAATGAAAGCCATGCCCGAAGGGCTGAGCAGCCTCTGGGACTGTCTAGGAAGGTCTGGCGGGTAGGCTGGGAGGCACCACCAAGCTCTCCTCACTGACCACACTTCTTGTGTTTTACACCTGTTCAATGGAGGCCTGCTACCAGAAACCAGAAAGAAAAAAGAAGCAAAGAAAAACCAGAAAGACAGAGTCACACAGAGAGGAAGAGAAAGAAGGAGTAAAGGACAAAGGACGGAGTGACAGAGACTTGGGGAGGGACTCTGTTGTAAAGAATATCAGATGACATTCTTAAAAAGCATGCTCCACAAAAAAAAAAAATAAAAATAAAAATAAAAAAGATTACAGGAGAAAATGTTTCTTTGCACATACCTCATGATATCACTACAGAGGTTGAAGCACACGAGGATAAAGATTTGGGAAGGTGAAAGACAAACTTTTTGAGATGGGTTTTGCATATTCCTGTGGGCTGACGGAATATAGCACAGTGTGACGAGAGATTTGGATCCTGCACACTTGGACTGTCGGGAAAGGAAAGGGGGAAGCTTGGAGAATGCAGTCTGGAGGTTCCAGGGGAGCCATCTGGGTGGTGGTGGCACTGGGTGGGGAGTGAGCTAATAGATGTCCTGCCAGGAGCTGAAGAGACATACCTTAGTGGGAAGAAAGGGGCTGGAGGGCGAGGAGAATGGCACCAGAGAGGGCTTCTGCCCAGGAGAAGTTAGCAAAGGAGCACTGCAGTGGCCAGGAGAGGGGCCAAGGGCGAGCATTTATTGGAAGATGTTGCATTAGTGTTTGTGCCTCTGACTTCAGTCCCAAAGAAAAAAATTGGGGGAGTCATTTGAGGGACCACCTTTGCCAATTGTGTTAATGCCATTTGATGGGAGAGAAAAAAAATCCAACATTTCTCAGAATCAAGGCTGGGCCTTCAAATGCTGGTAGCTCTTGAGTCTGTCTGTCTCTACACCCTTGTAGTAAAATCTTCCTCAAGCACCTTCACTCAGCTTTTAACCTAAAATGCAAAACACGTGGATTGGTTGGTGTTTTGCTTTTCCTACTTGACAACCAAACTATAGTTTCCTGCAACTTTCTTGACCATGAAGCATGAACGGAACTGGAACGCAGTGTATGTACTACTTAACCCTCTTTTTCTATCACCCTACGCTGCCTCCACAATGGTTTAGAGCCTTTAAAACATTTTTTTCCTGCAATTCTGTCCATAGTTCCCTAATTTTAGCTTCATCAAATTTAAACAACAAAATACCTTCAAAAATACAGCACACCTGTAACATCCATTTTGCAATGGTTTTTCAGTAGACCTACACTTCTCAAGCATAGGAATATGCTATACCATTGGCAGAAAAATAACTGTATTTAAATACTTACAAAAAAACCAAACAAACAAACAAAAAGGAAACAGGAAAGTTTTAAACTTAAATCCAGTTCCCAAAGTGGGTTGAAAAGAAACAAAAAGCAATTCTATGAACGCTGCCTTTATAATGAACAATCAGAAATTTCACTAGGCTAATTTGACAGAAAGTTTTCCTCATTTAGACAACATTACAAAAGTCCTGCATTATAAAATAGGGTAGAATAAATCAGTGTAATCAATAAAACTATACAACGATACAAATTACATATCTTCTGAGTGGGCAGTTTATCCTCTCTCTTTGCAGTCGTGACTACAACATGCTCACTAAAAACAACTAAAACTGCCCAAACTATTGCTTAGTTTGTTTTGTTTAAAAAAGGGTGCAATTTTATTGTATATACAACCAATTTACTGGTAATACCTTGGCATTTTGCAAGGTTCTGACAAAATGTTTGTCTAGGCTTTTTTCCCTTCACTGTGAAGCACTGAAAGCTGCTATTTTTTCTTTCTTTTTCTCTCTCTCTTTTTTTAGTGCACATATGTCATAATAAAGTAATGCCCAGCTAAGTGCTATAGGGAAGGCAAAGTATGCTGCTGGCTATAGGAAGTGACACGGTACACTGACAATCACACCATACAACAGCGCCAAGCGACTATTCAACCACTTATCAGACACATATGAAAATCCAAAATGTTTTATTTTATTTTTTTTCCTTAAATAGAGATAACCAGTAAACAATTTTCAGAACTTGGAAGTTTAAAAACGTGCATATAAAAATGGGCATTATGTACTTTTTATTGAATGTGGATTGACTGCTGTCTGCTAAGAAAAGTGGGTGTGGGGGCTGAAGAGAAAGGAAGTTGTCTTTTTTTTTTTTTTAAGGCTTGCTTGTGAAAGGAACAGTTGTAAAAACAAAATTGCTTGAAGCAGGGTCAGCTTAGTGCTTCACAGTTTGACTGCTTCTCTAAGAGGAGCCCTTCCTGCGCACGTGCATCAAAAACCACAGAAAATACAAAGACAGACACCTAAAAACACTGCGTCTCAAGTGCAGCACTGACTTTGGTCAAATAAAAAAAAAGAAAAATTAATAATTGCTAAGCTCTTCTACATGATATAAGCAGGTATTGCATATTTTCATATATCTGGGGGAAAATAAAGGAAGACTCCAAATAAATTGAAAAAAAAAATGCAGCAACATCCCAAATACTGATATTGTAAGCATCTACAGAACAGCACTGCCACTGACCACACAGGACAGTCAAGACTACGCCTGTCTGCGGAACAGCTAACTTTCTATTTAGATCTAGATGTTGAAACTGACGATGGCTGACATAAAAGTTAACATTTACAAAAAGTGTCTCCGAATGCTTGAGTAGGGAAAACCCCTTCAATAGAGGAGCGTGTGCAACAATTCCACAAATAATCACTATCCAGGGCAAGGCACATTGATATGGAATTTTTGTTTTCGTGCAAATTAAGGAAAAAAATAAAAACAAAACAACATCGTTTGGGGGTAAAGATGAGGAGCAAAGTGTCTTCCCAAGAATTTCAGTTACTTGATTGTATAGGACAGTAGTTGAGCCCTTCTGAAGGGCTGAGACAGTTTAAAGGCAAGTGCCTAGAATGGGGTTACAATATTGTCTTAATGCACTCTACTTTATCCTACATTAGCTATATAAAAATTAGTTACTAACACTAGAACATGCAGAGACTTCCTCTGGTCAGCACAGTCTGCCAACCAGAACACATATATATGTATAGTATAGGAAACCTTGAAGTTGCATGGGAAGCAAGGGGGTGCTTCGCTGTCTGGTAGAAAAATCACTTGCATTTTTTTTTTTGTTTGTTTGTTTGTTTCTGCTTTTTTTTGTTCTTTTTGATTTTTTTGTTATTTTTTTTGTCTTTTTTTTTTTTAAACATAAGATACAAGACATTTGAAGGGGGGAGGGTGTGAACTTTTTTTTTCGTTTTCCCTAATGAGTGCCCTTGATCTGAATGGGCACCAGCAGTTGTGTCCGTATCGGTGTTGTTAGTATTAGTTTTCCCATAGCCCAGTTCAGGGTTTGCAAAGGGTCTTTGAAACTTCTGGACAATGTCTGGTACAATGAGGCATTTGATAACTGATAGATCTGGTGTTGCCATACACATGTAAAAATTTCCATAATTGGCATAATTCATTATAGTGATTTCTAGCTTATAAAATTAACAGAGACCATGATTTCATTTGAGTTATGTGCTTTGATAACAGAAAATAATTAATTAGCATTTAATGTAGTTAACATATTGTGGTAAAAGCACCATTAGATTTGTATTTTTTTGTTTTTTTTTTTTTAAATTTTCCTTCAGTTTTTTTTAAAGGGATACAAGTTTAACAATAAAAAACATAAAAAGCAAAAATAGCTCCCCTTTTTCTTGCAAGGCTGTTTTTTACCCCAATAATTTAGAGTCCTGGGGTGGAAGGACTTGAAAAACAAAAATAGAATTTTCAACAATCTCTATCTTACAAAGATACTTAGCTATCCAATGAAATTGCACTTCACTCAATTCAAAATTCGATTGTTTTGATTCCTGTCAGTTTCTGTTAAAACAGACCATCTCCCCCATTTCCATGTGAATTTTTGTGTCATTGTTGAAATTGTTGAAAAATGTTTTTTTTTTTTTAATGTAAGTGCAGCATTTCAAAACTTTAAAAAAAAAACAACTGATAGTAGTAGTCTTTGCCGTCTTTTTGGAATTGTTCTGCAACATGAGTGGATTCACTGTCTTTGCGGGCTGTGTTGTGTATGTAACTGCTGACTGCTGAACCAAACCAAACGAAAAGAAAGATCAACGCAACTGCATTTTCTTTTTCTAATGTTACAGAAAAACAAAACAAAACAAAAAAAGAACCAAAAAAAAAAAAAAAAACCCAAAAAAACCATTGCCCTTTGAGTGTCCTGTAAGTTACAGATCACAGATCTCAGCTACTACAAAAGATTTCATTCTCCAGGTGCCTCCAAATGCTCGGGGAGGGTCACACCTGCGTGGGCAAATTCGTGAAATACTGTGAAAAGGCCAGGCTCGAAAGGGAAGTGTGTTACAACAGGAAGTTAGTGAGCAAGGCTCCTCCTCTACCAGCCACGTCAGCTAATGCTCACACCACCACCGAAACACTTCAAATGTCACACAGCCCAACCATTTCCAGCACCATATGAGAAATTACGACAGTCCCTAAAGATTAAAAAAAAAAAAAAAAATCCCGAAAGGTTATGGCCTTTGCTGTTTGACCATGATGCTTGCTGTTTCCATGTACAAGTTGATTCGAGTCGGTTTTTCTCCCCTTCCACTGACAGTGAAGTTGTAACTGCGCTGGGTTGAGGTTGCGTCCATGTTACAGAGTTGAGAAGGGGTCAGGTGGTCTGTCTGGCGGATGGTGGGATGCTGCAACTTTTATCCCAGGTACCAGGACTGGAAGACAAACAGAAAGACATAATTAGAAGTGCAGGTGTAGTGCTGGGATTTGGCTCATGTGTAGTGTTATTCTTTTGTTTAAAAAGAAGAAAAGAGAAATATTGCTGAGACAGGCATATTGACTATAAGTTTATTATAAGGGCCGGTAGAATGGGGAGACTAAGAAGAGGAACAGGGTAATGGCTGACCGCCATGGCCGGTCGCCATAGAGAGAGAGAGCGGGAAACAGAGAAACAGGGGGAGAGAGAGAGAGACAGACAGAGAGAGAGAGAAAGAGGAGTAAAGGTGCAGGGGCCTATCTTTTAAAGGGGTCCTCTGCACCTGCGTGCAGACTTCTTTCCCATGGAACCTTGGGCTGACCAGGGTTTTGCCTGAGTGGATTCCACCAGGTAACAGGGGCAGGCCAGCATAATGCCTGAACCTTTCATGTAGTAATTGCCTAGTATGAGGAAAGCCCACAACGGTCCTCAGTGCACAAACACAAAAAGGTTCCATTTTGTAAAACTACTTTGAAAGGATTGACCTTGGAGGTTTAAGTGGACGAGGAATGACAGATGATAGTAAATCCCAAACCACTGAAATTTATCTTATTCCTCTGACATTCAAACTCATTGTCTTTGCTGGGGTTTGCCAATGTCTTGAGTGTCTCTTACCAAGTGAAGGGTTTCTGGCCATGTGACATTCCTTCCCATCAGATTTTGTAACCTAGTGGTGAGCAGTTCCAAGACAGCAAGGAATCTGGCTATCGTATTAGTACCTAGCTCCGTGACTGGGTGGGCTTAAGAAAGGGAAGCAAATTAGATGGGACGTGGCTGAAGAGTGAGGTCAGGGGCGTAGTGAATAGTTATTTCTATAATTTTCTCAATATATTTTTCAGTGAGGTGTAGGTGCTAAAGACAGGTGCTAAACACATGACTACAGCATTTTGTGAACACGCTGGGTGGCTGGCAGCAGCGGTCAAAACTGAAAAGTCCCGTGGGAAACACTAGATTGGTGACCTGGGGTATGGGGAAGCCAGAGTGATCTCCCCTTTGCCTCCTTGTCATACTCATGAGGGAGAGTTTATGGTGCAAACTCAGCTTCCTTTCAGCTGGATACATCTAATGTCCTATTGTTTATCTCTGAAGAGATATATAATAAGTAAGACTACACAGTATGAAGTACCATCAAGTTCAAGGAGAAAATGAGGCCATTGCTTAGTCCTCATCCATGTTTCTGCCCACTTAATGTACCCTTGGAGCTAGCTGTCTCTCAGCTTGTGGACCTGGTCTTAAGACCCTTTCATAAATACCCAGGTGACCACTTTTATATCTTTGTCAACAAAGGAAGTTAGCTGAACAAAATGACCAACTACAGACCAATATCAAAATTAGTTTCTCAAGTGAAGTTAAACAGTGTATGACTTGCTAGCTTTCCCCTAAGAACCTGAAGATGCCCAACTTTCGTTGGGAGTCAGAAGGCCCACCAGCTTCTAGGCAAAGCTAAGGGCTGTGAGCTCTGCACTGACAGCATCAGCCAGGGTTAAGTCAGAACTGATTCTGGAGGGCTAAGGCTCACTCTTGTCAGAGAGATTCAATTAGGAAAAGTCGGGACTCCTTTGATCCCAGGGATAAATGGCTAAATGATAGCTCCGTGGAGGTTGGTGTAAGATTTCCTGGTCACAAGCAGCTACCTTTGATTTCCAAAGGAGCTTATTAAAAAAAAAGCAAAAACAAAACAAAACAAAACCCAAAACAAAACAAAAACAAAACAACATCAAAACCTTCCTGAGCTCAAACAACAAAACCACGCATCCTGTAGACTTTTTAGTGGTTGTTCTGTCTGACCGTGTGTTTGGGGAACACAATAAAGTTGCTTCTACCTGCAAAGGAAATCCCCCTGGCAAGCGCACATGGCCTAAATCTGAGTGGACAAAAGAAAGATGAGAGAGAAAGAGAGGGCGGGAGGCAGGCCCCAAACTGCATCTGTTTTAAGTCTGTCTTTAGAGCTGACACAGATTCCTTTGCACATCCTCTCGTATACACAACAGCCTCAAATTATGTGGCCAGTGCTGCTCTCAGACTGTTTGCATGCTCTCTAAGGCAGTTGTGAAATTCTCGACTTCTGTGCTACAGTCAGTGCTTCTTGATGCAAAGGCCTGGGACCTGGTGAGTCAGCAGGGGGAGCAGTTTTCCGTCCCTCTGTTTCTGGACTCAGGACACTACAAAAACCAGCAGTGCTCTGTACTTCTGTTAAAAAGCAAAGCAAAGGAAAAAAAAAAAAGTTTCTTCACACATCTTACTATTCAGTGTGTGCCTCGCCCACAAGGTTACCCCAGAGCAGCTCTGTAACCCTTCACTGAAATAGGCTTTATTGATTGCTCTGGTCTATTGTTCTCTTTTCAAGTCCCCCAAGTTCAAGTTCATCCTGGTGTTACATCATGTCTGGTTGCTCTTAGCAACCAGACAGACCCAGACGTGACTATCATTAGCAAGAAACCCTCTGCTCTCCTCCCACCAACCTTCCAGTGGTTCTGACGTAGCAGACCCACTGCAAACACACTGAAGTATTTATTCTGCCTAATTTATGACCTACCCAGCAAGCTAGACCCCCACTCCAAAAACCAACACTGTTGTATATTTAATTAATCTGTCTTTCTTTGGCATTTGAGAAAGTTAGACAAAGGACTAATTATTGTGTTTCCCTCTCCACACTTTTCTTTTGGGGGGTGAATATTTGCATGGGAAAGAAAACTATGAGGCCCGGCATTGGCCCCTCCCCTTTTTCTTTTTGCCCTATTGACATTTCATGAAATACTTTAGCTGCTTAACGGAGTTAGAAAGAAAAAAAAAAAAAAAAAAAAAAAAAACCCTGGGCCGTGAATGTTACTCCTTCTGAGTTGGTATTCAGTAACACAAATCAACTCATGACATGTTTAAATTTAAATGCTAACCACACACTCTCAGAGTTACTTTAAAGGTTAGTTTTTAATCAATAGAAGTTGCTGACTCTGGGTTTTTGAGCTGCAGACTGCAACTCTCGGGCCTTTGTCTAATGTTAAAGCTTGGGAACTTTTTTTCCTTGAGATGATTTTAGCAATGATTTGCAGACAGAGAAGGCTATTGTGCTCTTACCAGCAACATGTCAATAGAGGAGCTGAGCAGCCCTGTGGTGGGGTGTCAATATGACTCCTAAGGCAGGGGTTGGGGGTCTTTAATAACCCGTGAAAAAAACCTTAATTAACCCTTTCAGGTCCAAACCAAAACCTATTCTTCCACTTTTCACTCCTGTAATTTGACCATTAGTACTTATTTCAACATCACACTAATCTTCATGACAATTAACCCAGCTACTTGACCAAGGGCTTCCAGAATGGGAAGTCAGTTAGGGGAACCACACACGAACTTTTTTCTTTTTCTTTTCTTTCTTTCTTTCTTTCTTTCTTTCTTTCTTTTTTTTTTTGAATGAGGTTTATTAGTAAACGATCTGCAGAAATGCAGTAGAGAAACAGTTGGAACAGTAAGACAGTCATCCGCTTTGCCAATTTTTCTACCCATCAGTTTATAGTTGACGACATTGCTAATGGTGATTAGTGTGTGCTCACCCACACAGAGGTGCCCTGGATTTCTATAAACTTCCACAAACTGCTATCACATCAGATGGCAAGGGTAACACCAGGAGAGGCCATTTTTCTTATGATATTTTCCTTTAATTTCTGCTGTTTGAAAACATTGCAAGTTTGAGAACGCTTACTATGGAATAACTCTGCAGCTTCCTTCTTGGGACAGGAAAAAAAAAAAAACAGAAGGAATATGAGACTGGTAAATTCTTGAGTTGAGTCAAATCATTGGGAAAATACTGGCACAATGAAACAAGAGTCATCTGTGGAGAGTCAAAAAATCATCGTCAGATCTGACTCTGCTTGGGTTTCATGTGGCTTCGGCCTCCATACTTTATAGTTCCTCAATCTGCCCTACTGTATCCAGGAGACTACAAAGGAGTCTCTGTCCCTTATCTGCAGCCAGTGGCAATATTATAGTACAGCATCGGAGGATGTTATCTTGATACATTTACATTGAGGAAGTAAACACTGGGCTTTGATCTATTTTTTTTTTTTCTGCAAGAACATTCAACTATAGTTGATTTGGTGGCCCATAAATCCACACTCCTACAAAGGCTCCAGTTTCAGAAAATTAGCCAGTTACATTCGCAATGTCCATGGTTTGGGATGTACCAGGGGTGGGAGGGAACCTGTCCTCTTTCAGTGTTCAAGGTGAAACATCAAAAGAAATCTGCAGTCCAAGACAAGAGCTCAGCTTTCCCTCTAGCCGGTCAGATGGAGAAGTAATCTCATCAGGTTGGAAAGTGCTGACTCAGTATTTAATAAAGTGCCTGCAGATGTGGCGTCTCTAAGGTATTCAACTCATGTAATGCAAAACAGCTCTGCGCTGAACGGGCTTATAAAATTTCATTTAACCATTGCAGCACAGTTCTCTGAGGAGTTTTATCACACGTCCCGCCCCTTAATTTACAGCTCCATGAAAGTTCCAGTCCCATTCTGTGGGGATTCTGGAATGTTCACAGTAGTCAGGATTTACGAACCATAAACAGCCTCCATCCCACTGCATCCTAAACAAGAGGGCCAGGATGGCAGCAGGCACTGTGACAGTGGCAGTCTGTTTCTTCTCTTGTGCCTCGTTGTGAGCAATTACAAAATGGAGTTGGTTCTGACTCTACTGAAGATGGGCAACAAAGCCAATGGACACAGCTCCTTGTCAACCACCAATATCTAACTCACACAACTTCTTATAGAGCCTTCTACAGTCTCTCTTTCTACTCAGAGGGCAGGGCATACATTTTAAAAACAAAAGGGAAATAGGTCTGAGTTATATTTCACTTGGTGGTTGGGGGCGAGGGGGTGCTGTGGAGGGCAGGACAGACTGTGACAGCAGAATCTGTTTTTCAAATTAAAAAGTTAAACAAAAGGCCTCAAGGGCAAAGTTTAACGCTGAACGGAA